TATTGTTTTTCTCTTTTAATGTGTGACAGTAACAGTAATTTATTCCAGCTGTGATATATTTGTATCATTTATTTTTGAACAAACTGTGAAATGGAGTATACTTTTTCCAATTAAGCTCCTCCATTGGTACATAGAAATAAAAGGTAAAATTCATTAATCAGATACACAATATTAGAAAATATTTGTGAATGTGTATATGTATTAAAAAATGTATACGCATATGAATACCTATATGTTAAAAAAATGTATGTACAAAAAGTACCTCATTATTTCATTACTCAGGCTTCCATAGAAGCTGAATATTAGAATCCCTCTGTACTTAATGAGTATTAGTTAGTGTTTAGAAAGGGGAAAGTAAGGTCAGAAATTAAGATATTAAGATGAACTTATCATACGGATATAAACACACCATAAAATCAGAAGTTGATTAAAAAGATAATAAATAGTATGATTTTATTGTAAGACTACCAGGCATATCTGAATTGAAGGTGAATTGGGCTGAGAGCTATGTTAAAGGTCTTGATAAATTTGGCACTAGTTTCCCTTGTGACGCTTAAAGGATAAATTGTGCTAAAAGATGATGACTCCTTTCCTATTTCACTAACTTTTTTGTCCTTTTATCTATCCGTATTTATGCAACTTTTCCCAAAGTTTTCTTAAAAAATGCATTATTTAGTAGTTTATGTGCACAAAATGATGTTTGCAACCACTTATATAAATCATTCTAAAATTTAAAGATCTACAGAGCCAGAGTATCTGCTTACAAAACTCTGATGACTTCAGCTGATTTATAGCCCCAGACTTAGGCCATCGGCTTTTACTGCAAGATTCCAATGACCCCAAGAACAAAATCTACTCAAGATAGTATTTCTTAATGATGTCAGCCTCACATCAAGTGCTGGAAAACTTGGCAGTACAAGAGCCAGTACAACTGCTAGCAGAGTGTCAGCATTTAAGAAGAGGGGGCAGAGTCACAGGCTATTTGTGCCCAACAGCTGTTTCCATAAACTTTTGTAAAACTGAATATAATACAGGCTTGCTCTGTATGATAATTTTGTTTTTTCTCTTTCAGGACTACACAGCTACCATATTTCTAAGGCAGCGATGGACTGATGAGAGACTTTGTTTTGATGGTAATAAGAGTTTAAGCTTAGATGGTCGTCTCGTGGAAATGCTTTGGGTACCAGATACCTTCATAGTTGACTCAAAAAAGTCTTTTCTTCATGATATCACTGTTGAGAATCGTCTTATAAGAATATACCCTAATGGAACAGTCTTGTATGCTCTACGGTATGTATATACCTTACACTAGCCTTTATATTTGGCTTCTACTTACAGTTTAAAGTTTCCAGGTTAGTATGATTTTATGCTTATGAAACTGGTCTGTTTGTAAAAGTAGAATGCGCATGGTCTTGTAGTTTTATAAATATGTAACACGATTGACCAATATGATAAAGCCTTAAATTTAGTAATAGGTCTCATTTTCTTCCCTAAATAGACCCTTTTGCTTTCAGGTAGACCAAATACAGGAATTGCATTTTGCCATTCCAGTTGTTTTGCAATGAAGTAATCACAGAGCAAAGCAAGCTGTGATGAACTAATTTGCATTATTATTATAAAGATTATTCTTTATAATAGATTTTGAGAGATATAATAAAATTGTAAAATGGCAACAAAGGAAAAATGTACTCTGTAAGTCAGAAAAAGGCAAGGGATGGCCTTTTTAGATCGCCACTAAACTCAGCTAATCTGGAGTAGTTTCCTGTTTGGGATGTTATTACTCTTCCACATTAAATAACAGCAAATATTACAATTTTTTTTTCCTTGTGATAGGTATTTGCCTGCAAATATTAGTTCAAGAAGAATATATGACTTATTTTTATTTTTACTGATAAACAATTTTATCTCATTAATAATCAGCAATACTCTTTTTTTTTTCAAGGATCACCACAACTGTTGCTTGCAGCATGGATCTGACCAAATATCCGATGGATAAGCAGACATGTACTTTGCAACTGGAAAGCTGTAAGACACTTAATCTTTATTATTTTTATACAATCAAAAAATATCTCTGATCTTTTTGAAGGGCTACTAGATTTTATTATCAGAGAGGCTGGAATTTTCAAAGAAGCCAAGGGACAGTACATAACCAGTCCTTGTTGGATTACAATAGTGTCAGTATACAAAGATAAATTCATGAGGCATCACTGAAAACAGCATGACAGTACTGAAATGCTGCCATGCTATTAATGATTAAATAAAATCTCAGGAGATTATCATAGACCTGGCTTTGCAGCACATCCTGCAGTTATTCTGTTGGTCTTCAGGGGGAGTTCTGTGAGCAGAGATTTTCCAGCACAGCAAGAAAAATATGTTTTTTATTCTTTTACCTCTTTCAGATAATACGTATTTTTTTTCCTGCCCTGAGACAAGATTCCTTTAGGAAATAAAGAAATTTGAATAAGGCTTATTTGTAAGGCATAGAGTTCATATTTAATTTACTATTTCATACTGAAAAAAAAGTAATAGCTTAGACAGTTCTCTTCTGAGATGGATATATACAAATCCTTCTATGACTTATCTAATTGTCTCTATGCCAGTGCCCTGGGAAAAAACATCATCAGTTGATGGACCAAGACTAAGTATACCTTTATGGGTTCTCATTTCATCAATGTCCTCCGAATTTTCATTAAAATATGCTCTCTACTTTGTAGACATCGTCACTTTATAAACACCCAAATGTCCATGTTTATATTAACTTTTTGCTATTATTCGTATGATAATACTCTATAAAAATATTTTTTGCGTGGGATAATATAAAAGGATACCCAGTCCTGTAAGGTGAAAATATATGTTCGAATATATGTCAAAACATATTCAAAATATTTTTGAAGGTTTTTCAGTACTTGTCAAGTTTTATTCTTTACTGTTTCAGACGTGTGTGTATGTTCTTTAACTCCTGTTGCTAATGACCAATTAGAACGTTGCTGCAAAGTTTCCTTTTAGACAGAACCACAAAGGGAATCAGCCCCAAAACCTTCCTTACACAGGGGTCCCTCTAGAATCAGTAGTTTTATAAGTTCTGTTTAACAAACAGTGATTTGAATTAGCGTTTGGATTTATCTCTAATTTGTTTTCCTTTGGAAGAGCATATCAGTAAGTCAACACATATGGATTTACATCAACAGCGTTGCCTAGTGAGTCATTTAATATTTTCTCTAGTTACGAAATGAAATATGTGTCTCACATGAGCTTAAATTTATTTGACAGGATTTAAAAAAGGAGAATTCCCTATATAATTAAAAATAAGCATTTTTCAGAATGATTCCATCTGCTTTTTCAACAACACACAAGTGTCTTCTGTCCAAGGGGAAAACATAGTAATGTCCTTGCAAATGCTCCCGTGACATTGGTGTTTAGTTTTAATGAAAACAGCTAGAAACAATAAATGCAAAAGGAAAAAGTACGCTTTTAGCTGTGGCCCTTTTTCCTCAGTGTACTGTAATACTTTCTTTTTGGGTGCACTGGAAATGGTGTTTGTTCTCTCATGAGATAAGCCATACCAATATACAGATGAGTAGAATACTGGTTGCAAATACCATTAGCTGGAATTAAGAACTGTGAATGCAAGCATGTGTACATATCCACATAAATACTGACATTTATAAATAAAATGTGAAATATATAGCAAATATTTGAGCTGAAATTAAGTTTTAGGCCTTTTATTAAGTGATTACTATTGTAAAGACAAATATGACCTGATATCAAGTAATGGCTTTACACAGTAAAGCATACCTAGTGGCCTTTACAAAATGCTGTTCTGCTATTATGAGTTAATAATATTAATTGATTTATACTATCTACACAGCAAAATGTTAGGCATATGTTAGGAGGCAGAGACTTGCCACTCTGAGTCTCTGTTGATATGTCAAATGTGACATTTTAGGACTTGGAGGGCTCCTGTCTGAGGTGCTGCTGGGGGTTCATGCTCTCTGCCATGTGGTGGGGAGCACCACTGTTCATTCACACTGGGCTGAGGGCTTTTTTCTCCCCCCTCCACTGCCTCAGGCCTCCAGTCCAAATACATAGTCATGTTTTGGGACCATTTCTGAAATTTTATTTCCTTTTTGAACTTGTCTTTTATCATTTATTCAGTGAAGAGCCATGTGAAGGCACTTAACTTGTGCTTGACAATCAGATGAAATTAAAATTAGCAACAGAAAGGTAAAGAAACTAATTTGTATTAGGCATTATGAATGTTTAATCCCAAATTTACTATTTCTGTAGTTAACCCTGTTGACATTAGCTGCTTGTACTGTATCAACGAAGTACAGGAATGAGGCATTTTGGGCTTGAGGAATCAGTTAGAATGAAAACTCAGTGTCATGTAGAGAGAACAGAGATTACTTGTAAAAGCCAGATAATGTAGCTTAAAGGATTTTGTCTCTATAGACTTTTCAAACATTTTATAATTAGTAAAATATTAATCCTCTGACTAAAGAGAAACTTTGCACAGAGAGAGAAAGGTGCTATTTAACTTTACTGACTATTGGAAAGACTCTCCCCATGAAAATTCTTCACAAATAGAGCTCTGGAATGAGCATATTCAAAGAATTTTTGTAGGAAGGATCACAAAAACCTACTAATTATTTGGCTGATAAAAATACTTTGGAACAAAAATGGTTCTGCTAAAGCAAAACAACCTCCATTTGGAGATACACTTATTATCACCCATCTGGGCATCGAGAATCTCTCCCATCTCACATGACTTGGAAGACTCAATATGTTGTCAAAAATAAATAAGAATTTACTGTGGTACTCTCTAGTTCTTTGGACTTTATTTAAATATCTGCAGCTCATTCATACAGAAGGAAAGCAAAATGAATCCATACCTGGAGTCACGCACAACAACTGCTTCTACGAACTTCTTTGTTTTGACTAAGGACAGTGCAATCATTTGTTTATAAGAAATGTTATTTTTCACCTCCCAAACGTGGGAGATTTCCTAGCATGTGGTTTTAGGGACTTGAGAACTTAGCTTGGACGTGCATGCTTTTGGCTTAGACTTTTGACACAGCAGTGTTTTGTTTTATAGAAAATTATGGCTTTAATTGCTATAAATGTGATAATGTAAGCTGGGATTCCTGGTCATGATACCTTTTCAGAAAACTGCCAACAATAGTGAAAACAAGATTTATGTTTAAAGAATGGTCAGGGAAATAATTTCTGAGTGAAATTGTAATTTTAATTGGTAACCAGCACAATGTTTCTTTGAAATTCAATTCCTAAACTCTTGTTTTTCCTACATTAAATGGCTGTAGGAAATCAATTCTTTTTTGTTGTTGCAAGAACCAAAGCCATTAACTTAAAAATGTTAGAATTCTTTTTTTTTTTTATTTTAATGCAGATCTTTTTCTGTGATTCCAGAGTTTTGTTCTTTTGGCAGCATATACCCTTGTGCAATGTATTGCATTATTGTCTTATACTGTAATTTACTTACAATTGACTGGAGTCTAAAAATAATCATCTGCTCATGTTTCTGTCCCGTAAGCTTGGCTATTAACTTGCACAATATAAGTCTTTCAAATACAAGAATGATTGATCTAAATAAGTTAAAGGAAAAGATGTTCAAATGCTCCCTGTTAACATGTAAATTACATTAACATAATATTGAATTAATCATATACACTAGCCTGAAAATTGCCTGCCTTTTAATATAATGGGAAAAAGCTACAGAGGTATTTTAGCTATGATTGTGCTGCATATTGACAAGTGTGTGCAAAATACAGTTGCCTTCTGATAGATGATTCGTGTCCCGTTTCAGCTCCTAATTACTACTTGAAGGTTAAGAGGAAATCTCCTGGGGCCCCTGAAGCATGCCACGCTGTTAAGCCTGCAGAAGCATCAGCGTCTAAGCTGGTGTCCTCGGGAAGCATCCAAGCTCCTGAGCCAAAACGCCGTCCCAAGTGACGACCCAAGCCCAGCTCAGAGCACAGCGCCAGCGCGCAGCTGCCCTGCTGCTCTCCTCGCCCCTTCATTTCCGTGGGAATGAGGACCAAATGCATTGCACTGAGAAACAGCAGCCTGGGATGCGACAAAGGGCACACATAGTGTTTAGTCCAAATGCTGGCAGTGCTGTAATTCATAAAAACTGTGTTTCTTTAAAGCTTGATAGCTGTTGCCTTTAGAATACCATGTGGTACTAATTTCTTTTATTAATTTATGTCATTTGTACTAGAATAAAAGATATAAAAAGACCACCTCCCAATAAGTCAGCTTTTAAATGATAAGACTTTGCATGTTATTGGGAGATTTGTTTCATACAGGCATTATGTTCTGCCAAAAACTGTCACTGTTTATGTCTAATCGTACTTTCAGATAGACAAATAAGAAACAGCTGAACCATAAGTGTGCTCAACGTAAATTAATTATTGTGTAAAATAAACACTTTTGTTGGCTTGTATATCACTACAGGGGGTTATAACATCAATGATGTCATGTTTTACTGGACCAGAGGAAATGATTCAGTTCGAGGTTTGGACACGCTCCAACTGGCACAATACACAGTAGAAGACCACTTTACCTCGGTATCCGAAGCGGTATATGAGACAGGTAAAAACACCCTTCTAATGCTTTCTAGGTATGGTTTGGAATGTGGCTGTGGAAACAGAGCAGCATTAAGAGACTAAGCACATTGCTTTATTTTAGGACGACAGTTTTCATTTTATGCTTGATTACATACTTGAAACTGTACATACTTTTCCAGATGTCACCAGCAGAAACTCAGCTAATGTAAAGGTTGAGAGTTTTTAGGCATTTTCTTGGAGGCTACACATTAGCTAAAGGAATGATAAACAAGAAATGTACTACTTCTTCCACGTAATGTCAGAGAGCACTCTTGTGAAGGAAGATTAGCCTGTAAATTGGACATTTAAATTGGAAACAGACCTGAGACCCTAGGTACCCAGCTCAGAACAGTTCCCAGCCTTCCTGGAAATAGCCACTCCAGCTTTATTAGGCAAGTCAAAAACCTCTATTCAGCAATGAAAATTTCTGTGAATATGCTGGGTGCTTTTACTTCTGCAAGAAGTTGTGTTTCATGGCTAGTGCTCATCGGAATTGCTCTTTATCTGCGGCAGCCTCTGTCCAGCCTGGTGGGCAGCAGAGCGCAGGTTGCCTGGCCTGAGGTTCCTCTGCCTGGGGAAGGGGCAGAAGCATTTCCACGGACCTGTTCTCCTGCTGATCTTGGGAAACTGCTGTAGAAAGTTTCCTCTAACTGCAGGACTTATCCTCATGAAAGAGTTTGCTTCTGTTTATTTTCCAGATACTTTGAAAGGACTTTCAGAGAGTTGAAGACCTGCCAAACCTGCTTTAGGCTCTTTGAGTTACTTTTAGGTCCTTCCTTGCTGTTCTTCACTGCATACTCAGCTTCTCTTCTGCTCAAGTCAACACACCAACTGAAAGGGTGATCTTTAGATGAAGACACACATATCCCTCAAAGCTATAGTTTCACCAAAGGATATGTTACTAATTCTGAATCAGAGAAATATAGTTTCTCTATTCCATTGTTGGGTATTTCTGCTTTAATAATTCACAACAGAGAATCTTTATGATCTAATTTCAGGTATTAATTCAGGTTAAAAGTCAAAGTTCTTTAAATGGATGTAAAATGAGATACATAATAGCAGGCTCCAGGATAATGAAATACCTTGCTACTTGCATAAGCGACATCTGCTTGCCTGCCTTCTCTTTACACCTTCTGGGTAAGCAACATGAATTTAATCAAAGGAGAATAATCCTTTACTGCCGTTCTGCCCACAAGGGTATCAGGACCTGTTCACCATACAGGAAAAAGGAAGAGGAAACCTGCTTAATTCTTACCACCTTCTATCATAGAGTCCAGACTTGAAAGCCAAAAAAAAATTTCTACTATTTTTTACCAAATAGAATAAAACCAATTTCCAATTATAAATGAAGAGGCACGATCAGATGAACTGTGCTCTTCTTTTAAGTAAATAATGCTGTCTTCCTCCCTTTATGTTGGTAGGAATCATATGTATAAAGTCAAAAGACTTTTTCTTTTAATTATGCATTTTAACACATGCAACTTAATTAGATTAAAATTTCCCACATCTGCTTGTTTCAATTCTCCTGTTCAAGAAAGCCATGTTATCAAGTGTGATGCAGTATTTCTAAAATGAAATCTCATAGTCCTTTTACTTTTCTACAGTTGTTTTTTTTTTTTTAGGAAAACAGTGCCTACTGTAGCCCACAATAAAAGAAAAAAACAACCAGATTATGGAACTATGTAATCAATCTCAAAATGAAAAATGATGCTTTGCATTTTCTTAACACTATTAATAAATATTTGAGAGTATTTTGTAAATCAGTTACACTGTAAATAACAGTTTTTCACAAGGCTAAAGCTAAAGATATGGGAAAAGAGCCATGTGTGGTATTTCCTAACACAGCAAAAAAAGCAATCAGGATTTCATACTCTGTGAACTTGAACAGACAGTACAACTGCTGTGCAAGTGAAATATTGTACAATGCAAAGCTCAAGTTCACGTACAACCACTGACAGACAAATTTAAGATGTGGTCAGCAAAATTCCTGCATAAGTAACTTCAGTAAATTTAAGAAAAGGACATTGTGGATTAGTCTTGTTTATAGAACAGCATGTATCACATTGTTGTAATCCCATTATAGTAAGTCACTTGGAATACTGATAGCTAGACTGCTGGCTAGGGTTTGGTGTTGATTTTGTTTTGGTACAGACCAGTTTCATTTTGGACACAGAGAAATTAATTGCTAGAACCACTTCGTACAGGTCTTTTAACTATAGTCCTTATTCTGGCTGCTGGGTTTTTATTTTAGCTGTCTAGCCAACACCACCTGCATTCTCAGAGTAATATAGGCATATAAAAAGCTTGTCTGTCTTATTGGAAAAAAATAAAAGCAATGAAGGACTGTTACAGTCTGGCTTTTTGTGTAAATAATCATAGAAATAAGGCTGAAATACACTTTAAGAATTCATTTAATCTATTCTCATGTCGCAAGGCAAGGTCATGTGTATCTGCAGCCTGCTTCCTGACAGATGTTTCTAGGAGTAAGTTAGACAAACATCCAAAGTGTCTGCTTCACCCTCCCCAGCTGATTTTTTCTCTGGTGATTATTATATGCATATTTTCCTCATGTCTAATCTTGATCTCCCTTGCTGCATTTCAAATCCATTATGTGGATATTGAAGACAAATTTCCTGCTATTTTTCAGCAGCCCTTTTGCTATTTCAGGGCAGATATATCTTTTCTCAGACTCTCTCCCTCTTTTTAATTTGCTGATGTAAATCATCATCATCTCCTATTGTTGCTGATGTACAACACCCAAAACTGGGTACCCTATTCCCATCAGATATTATCCATAGAGGGAAAGGTTTATTTAATGCATTTATTGAACTCTGTTCCAAGGTGACATTTGCTTTTCTTGCAGAAAATACTTGTGCGTTTTTGACCTTGTTCAACTTGTGATTCCTTCTAGTACTTTACCTCCTTTATTGCCCTGTGCTCTGTTTATGGAGCTAGTAATTTCCATCTGAGTATAGGACTTTGTACTTGCTTTTGGTGAATTGCATCTTGTTTTACTCAGGCTGATAGCTGATATAATTTTGAACTCTAATCCTGTTCTCTAATGTGCTAACACTCCTCTCTTAAATGACACTTGGTATGTCATCGTGTTAGTGAGCAACTCTGGGTACAGGGCAGACCCCATGTGTTCCTACTGAATAAACGCTTCTATTTTCACAGCAAGTGATAGCTAAATAATTACAATTAACTTTTTTAATTGGAGAAAGAAGCAAAAGCGTCATTTAATACTTGAGGCTAATTGGCTGTTGATAGCTTTTCTTCTGGCTGGCAGCTTTCTTTAAGTCTTGCTTTCACTGCTGGAACCCTCCTGCCAAGTCTTCAGCAGCAGCACAAATGAAGAGGCTCAGCTTGCTCAGGTCTAGTCTAACGCTGGGTCTTCAGCCTGAGCCTAGAAGGCAGGGAGAATTGTCAGACAGTCAGGGCTCTCAGTGCACTTCCCTGCTTAGAAAACCATGAAGTCAGCAAAATGGCATATTCAAATGGTATTATTTCGGCAGAACAGAGGGAAGGAAGAGACAGAAACATAAAGTCAGTCTCCTCTCCTTGATGCACAAAGACATTTGTCCTCTTGAAAAAGACTGCAAAGGGAGCTGGCTGCTGTCCCTTGTCTGCAGTCACTGCCAGGGTTTTGACGTCTATCACAAATCCTGCTTTATCTCCTTGGGGTAGAGGTCTCATCAGACCTCGTTTGGTTATGCAGTATCGAAACTCTGCTGGCCTCTGGCCACTCCACGTTATTGGCTTCTCAGGTGGGAGGTCACGACTAAGCCAGTAATGAGTTGCTCTCATTTATAATTACTGATCTGAAAATAGAAATGTATGTAAACTATAAAGAGTGTACGAGAGTGTATAAATATGACAGACTCCTTCAGAGTGTACATTCATCAGTCAGTCTTTTTCTCTTGAAATAGAGGCATGACCTTGCTTTGTCCTACAGGCCCATCTGCATTTTCTCAAGGTTCAGGACATTTCTTAGTTAACCATCAAATTTTTCTAGGATTTTCAGTTCTTTTTTGAGGCATGATGTGCTGAGTAACTCCTCTTATTCCCTCTATCAGTTCCTTTGTAATCTCTAATTATAGAATCATAGAATGGTTAGGGC